GGGAAGGAGGAATAACAATAGGGCAAGGAGCAATGACAACTTCCTATTCATTTATTGACAATAAGGTTTACATCATTATTTACAAGTTCAAGATATAGTGCAGCTTTAAAAGCATTATTCACGTTATTACATAATATTGACACTACATAAGTTGCATGTATATAGTACAACTTTAAATGTATTTACCTAAAAATACCAGTTGCATAAACAAAAAGAAATGCATGTCTCTAACATTAATCAGCATAGATTAGGGTGCTTGCAAGTCCTGACAATATGACCAGTCTCATGATATCTTTCATAATGGTAAACCTTCTTTTTTTGAAATTGAGATTCATGTCTTTCATCATAAGCCTTCTAATCTTCAGTAGCTCTAAGAATGCTGACTGTGAATTTCATTTGACCTCTATTACTTTCACACCCTATAATTAATGATAACATTTTTCTCAACTCTTTATATGTTGTCTCTTCCTTTATGCTTCTTGTTTTTACACTTCCATCACATATTGCATATTACTTTGGGCATCATATATTGAATTTTCCTTCTATATGAAAAAAAAATAATACATGTATTCCAGAACTATTAGCCATCTTTCATATCAACCTACACTACACACAACATATTGACAACTATCTATAATATACTGATAAATTATGCTTAAACTATTAACAACACACACACACAACATATTACAAACATGCACTACACATAAGATATTGAAAATAAACTTAACCTGTTAACAACACATCTTGCTATTTCATGACAAATTTATCAGCTCGACCAAGTAGTACTAGAATCTTAAATATATCATTACAAATGCAAGGCTAGTGACCACCCACGACTAATATACCCATAAGGAGAGAAGGAAACATCCCTATTCTATCAACAAATAATAAAAGACCAAATTAAATTATTAAAAGGGAGCACATGCAAACCAACCTCATAATTTATCTAGTTCCATGCGATCATAGTATCAGATTCTTTAAAAGACGAAGCTAGGTCCAAGTTGGTTTGAAGGTGAGCCTTCTTCCTTCACAAACTCCTACCTACCTTAGTCTGAAAAAGATCGTGATAAGGGGTTCACGTTCTAGCTACAAGATAATCCTACCTCGCTCATTCCGAAAATGATTGCAAGACCTCTCTCAATTGGTTATGGCTCCATTCCATGCAAAAATACCTTCCTTTTCCTCTTTCCTTTTTTTTTTCTTTTCATTCATCCAGGGTAAATGAGTCATTTTAGTTGCAAAATTATTCATACCTAAAGACCAAAGGACTTCAGAATATTTTTTTCTATTTAGTGAGACTTGGTTGTATGTAACTCTTTTTTATGGGACTTAGATTGTGATCTTCCTTAGTAGCTTTTATAAGAAATTGCTTTAATCAAAAGTTGTCTTTATTTAGTCAACTCTTATCATATTTCATAGTATTTGTTGCAATTGGGTTTCTTGTAGATACTTAGTGGGGATCAGAGAAAATAGACAAGAGAGAGACAATGCAGGGCCCTCTTTACATACTCCGTTATTCTTATATGTAAAAGATTTTTTAAAAGATTTTTTATCTCTAAATATAAAAAGGTGTCAATATATTTTTTTTTTAATAAATGGACTATTATACTCTTATTATACTGGAAAAGGAAAAGGGTACGTAATCATTAATTTATTATGAAAAAATATATTCATTTTTTATTTACAATAATTGGGGACAAATTAAAATATTGCTATGTTTTTAAGTAGATAACTAATTTTTTACTGATTTACATAATTCAGCTAAAAATATATTATATATAAAGAAGGAGGGAGTAATCTTCATTAATGCGTCTTACCAGGTCTCCTGGAGAGCAATGGATCCTATCCTAAATTCATATCTTCCACTTTTAAATTAAGAAAAAATCTTGCAAGAATGTGATATATCACGTCATCCATATCCTGTCTAGTAAAATATAAATTGATTTTATCAACAACAACAACAATAACAATAATAAATGGAGAAAATACAAGAAATAAAAAGGGCATTCTATTTGAAAAATAAAGTCATTAAAAATAATGATACATAAAATTTTATTTGATTAAACTACTGTAATTTTATTAACAGAGCATGAATGATATGATACACCTGTCCATGCAAGAATTTATCTTAAATCAATATATATTTAATCAATGTAAGGTAATCTTAGGTCAATGGAAAAAGAAAAAGAAAGAAAAAAAATTAATTACCCGTGACTCCCAACCATTAGTAAATATTGAAATTTGATTACAAACTAGACCAAGAAAATAATTAATTTTCTTATTTGAGATTGATTATGATTTTTCTTTTTATTGTAACCCTTTAACATCACACGGCAACATACAAAATATGTTTCACTAATTTTTTTGAAGTCTTTATTAGTTAGTTCTTCACGAGATAAAACTGGCTGAGTATGATGATTTATGTATAAAATGAGTTGCTATGTTTATATTTTATATCGATAATTGTTGTAAAAAATAAAACTTGTTATAAAGAATGAATTATGAGAATTTTGCTGGTAATTAAACTTTAAATATATTTGTTAGTGTTATTTGAATTGTGAGACATATTATTTTTATATAAAAAATAGGTGAATTGGATTCTGAAAACTTAACTAAATAAGGATATACCATTGGATTCAAAGAACGCTTATAAAACTATCTATAAATTTCTTGCCAACAATGTTCTCAAGTGGGATTTGAACCCTTAACCTTGTGAATTATAACTTTATAACTCAAATCCTTACCAATTGAATTAATATTTGTTAGCAACTTGGCATTATGAGACTTTTTTTGACTTCATAAACTAGCAAAACCCAACACACTCACTTTTCAAACTTTCATAACAAAAAATCATTGAGAATTGAGTCTAATAGAAAGGATTAATCTTTCACAACGTGGTGAATCAAAAATTGAATTCCTGTCGAGAGATATTTAGTGCTCAACAGTATCTTAGCCTCAAAATGAATAGTTGAAAGCCAGGGGCGGGGGGATTGCATAATGACGTAAGTGGTACCGATACAAAATTATGATATAATTATATAATGTTACATTGTGTCTCATATGAACATGACAATATATGAGCATATATACCAAATATATATTTTTTGGCGTCCAGAACCAAATGCAACCTATTGCAATAGGGAAAAGAGATTCTAATTGGTATAATGGCATGCATGATTAAGAGTTTGTTCCAGTTTAACGTGGACTTAAAGTGAGCCAAATGTTTATTTTTATGAGTGGCTTTAGGAGTTAACTAAAGACTAACCTTCTAGGGCGCAATGGAAGCAGAATTCAAAGGGGTTAGCTTAGAACTCAAGATTGCCTTATGTGTAACTCAAGGGACAGATATTTTTCAGTTGAAAATGGGATGCAAATATTCTACATTTTAAAATATTGTCAGATTCCCCTAGGAAAACATTATTGTACAAATCAAATCCAAAAACACAACGAAGATACTATTTCTACGCATCTGGAATCTAGCAAGTGTCATGGTGGATGGGGTAGGGGGAACCTCAAGAATCATTATAACATAGAAGTTTCGCTCTCTCTCTTTTGGTCAACCCTATTTTCCGCCTCTAAATGCTGCTTCTTTATTTTGCTTATCTACATATGTTGCTGTAGGCTCTTGCTTTTGTGATTAGTCGTAGTTCAAATAAGCACCAAAACATTCATCGGTGCCCGCAAAGCTTATTGTTCGAGATGACCTTGCTAGATGTGTCTCTCGTGGAGTAGTCCATGATCATGTAGATAGATTAATTCTCCGCGGTTCCAAGAACTCTAGACGATTTTATGCTTGTTTTTTTTTTTTTAACATTCAAAGACGGTTATTACCCTGAAATAATATTATTACATAATTGCTGCCTACAAGGGCAAACACCAACAGTTGGACAAAATATAAAATTCTTTTGCAACACTGGGTTCAGACGATTTTGTTTTAAACCGTATGTAGTTAAAGTAACGACAATGATTCCGGCCCACCAAAAATGCAGTAAAATGTTACCCAATCATAAATTTTGATGATGATGATACAGCTTCAGTGTTGTCCACATAATCACTATTACGTTGCAATTACTGATGATGGCGTCATATCTTTTTTTTTTTTTCCATCATCCCACTTAGTACCAGTTTTCATGGCAAGCAAAGCAGTAGTCAGAACGAGGCTGTAATAAGAACTATGCAGACAGGCATGATACTGCGGGGCGATCTGATGAGCACACATTATCCAATACAGCAGTCAACGGCTTGAGGGAGACAAAGAAAGATCAAAAATCAAGACTATATTCAAGCGGATAAAAGAGACTATATTTCCTTACCTTCGAGTCTGATCCTACGTTAAAAACCAAATAAAACATGCAACTAACAACAGACCCCAAAATCATGGTTTTGATGTTCTTCAATAAAAATCAAACACGCTTCCTATCTTCATTTTATCAAATGAAATTTAATGGCTTTCAATGAAAATCCTCGACAAAAACGATGTTCCTTTCAGTCTACGTAATCATATACCTAACCAGCACCCTCAGCTGTGACTTCAAAGTTCAAACATGTTTTTAGGGGAACCCATAGCTAGCCTTGCACTGGACAAAAGGAGGGCATCTGGCGCAGCCAAAACATGTCAAGTGCTTCATGCTGCGTATCTAACAGGATTAATGAAAACAACATAGATTTGCAGCACTTCACCAGCTGCCACTATGCCGAAAATATAATTTGATAATTGGTACCATTAACATGTCCCTATCATCAGACCTACTAATCCGATGAGATCGATCCAAATGGATGGCCATCTCCAAGGGCTAGTAACAAGCAGACAAATAAAACCAGAGACTTAGTTTGGAGACATCTAAAGATAATCCCTAACTAACATGGAAGTTGCATGCTCGACCAAAAACCTAATCGCAGACCGAAAGTCGAGACCCTCAACCTTCTCTGCAGGTGCTACCTATTCAAATACATAAATTACAACATGCAGCAAAGAATGGCAGAACACAACCACCAGATGAGCTAAAGCAAGTAAGATATTGATGGTACAAAACTACAACCTATCTCAATAAAACCTAACATGTAAAGCGATTCACAACATCAAAAGCTTCTTTAAAAGAATAGGCAGCTCAACAAAACTACCATTTCATGCTGAAGAGTGAAATGGTATCTATGAAAAATCCGTATAATTGTCACGAATATAACAAAAATAGGGAAAATTAATCTTTCCACATGTCCGCAAATTCATCAGGCTCCAAAGAATTAGACATCTCATGCATTTTCCTCCTTGTCTTCGCTTTGACCTTCTTTGCATACTTTCCAGCCTTCTTCTTTTTCTCCAAGGCTCGAATCTACAAGAATGAACTTCAAAACGTCACAACGAGAATCAATGATAACAATAGTTTCGCACTAAATAAAGCATCAGTGAATACCTGATTTGGTGAAACGTAAAATGGGTTTTCATAAAGAGTTGGGCCACCAAAACTGCCACCAAATATTTTAATTGGGTTTAAGCAGAACCTTGGACCAACCTAATCAAGCAGCTGGCATAGGTTAGACAACTCTTATAACTTGACAGATCAAAACCTAATTCCAGAAACCAAATTTCAGACCTCAACCAGTGTCATTTTCTCAAGGCCTCCTCGAGGTATTTTGTCTGATTCATTATGAGGAACAGAGATCTGTTAAGCAAAAAGAAACAGCATCATACATGAAATTATTTAAAGTGCAGAAGTCAACATGATGCAGAAAAAACAACAAACGTATGTTACACCAACTGACCAAAAAGCGAGGGAATGGGATTATCATTCCCTCAATCATTTGCAATGTGTTGTGCCCAGGGTAATCATAACTCATATTTTCTTTCCTAATTGAACATCAATACTTCGTTCAATTAGGAAGAATGAAAGTCCGTAACAATGAACCCAAAAGTTTAGCCTCCACATTTATACAACTTTTTTAAGGATGCATTTGAAATTGCTTAAAATAAAACATAATCACAAACCTGGTAATTCCTGAACCATATATGATCATCAACTATGGAGAAAACAAAAACGTGATCATAGAAAGGCTTTATTTTATGATGGTCCTTTGGTGTTCCAAATATCTGAAAAGACAGCATGTATACATCAGCAATACTTGAAATGGCACTCGGCATTTAATACCCCAGAAATGAAGAGGAGAAGAAAACTAACTGGTCATACCCATGCGCCTTAGTATCTATCTAAAATTTATTATTGAAAGTAAAATCTAGTTTCAAAATCAAGAAATGACTTTAAGAAACTACATTCTGCTGGCACAGAAAGTAATCAGAATCAGAAATCTAGTAAATACGAATACAGGAATGGAAAAGACCTCCCAATCCCACTCACTACTTAAATAACCCCAAACCATGATGATGGCATTAATGAAATATTCTCGTCCATAGACATAAAATAAAGGGGAAATTTTTCTTTAGCAGTCACACGGATGAAAATATAAGGGCAATTTATCTTTAGTAGTCTTGTGGATATGCACACTAGTATAAGTGAAGACCCCAAACATATCAGGAAATGAAAATTAAATAGTTTTAAAGGCTAAGGTCCAATTTTAACCCTATATTTATTTTCCAGGAGCGCTGGGCACCTTGCACTCTTAAGTGGGGCAATTCTCCCCCTAAACTATTTTTTTGGAGCAAAAAAGCCCTCCCAGAGGTGAGCCATTATCTCCTCCATTTTCCTTCTCATGCGGCATCCGTGTGAGCCCATGCACAGTAAATCTGACCCAATTTACTCCAACCCACTGCAACAAACTCTCTCATCCCAAATCCGGCAATCAATCTCTCTCACCATTTTTAATGTTCAATTCCAGCAGATATTTCATGAAAGACAAGTTGTTCTCTGCCAGGCAAGTGCTAGAAAACTATAACATATGATGGCTGCATGAAGATTTCAACCGTTCAGGTTCAGGGGGTGAAATTTTTGTTATTTCATGAAAGTGGCTTGGGGAGAGTGGGAACATCCCCTAAGAATAGGACAGGACAGCCAACTTTCAAAACGATATATTCGCAAGTCCGACATGTCTATAGCAACAAGAACAAGAAGCGGTATCAAATTCTCAAACCCAATCCACCTCCTTCCGGCTTTTTTGGAAGAAACAAAATCAACAGCAGAGAGAGAAGCAATCGGAGCACCGCAAGTCCCCAGAAGCTCAGTCAAAATGAAGAACCTATTCAAACAATTAATAAAATTCATTTCAAAAGTTAATTTTTTCTCTCCTCAGAAACAGAAAATCTGCACAATACAGACATACCAGCAGAAAGCAAAACACCAGAAACAATTTGAACTTCATCAAATTGAACAACAATCTTCAAATCTCTCTCTTAAAAAGGACTTGTATCATTTCAGGCTGATGCCCCGTCATCCAAGGAAGGCAATAGATGCAGTGATGGAAGGACTGAGGAAGCCCCTGTTAAGTTCAGACACAAGGAAGCCGCCTTTGATCTTTCACCTCAGATACAGAGATGTCCACCCACAAGTAAGACAACAGATGGAAAAGGAAGCAAAGGCAGGAGAAGCTCTTCATATGGCTTGGTCAGATGAATGACGGAAGGACAGAGGATAAAAGGGACAACTGAAACGCGCACTCTATCTGCCGCGATTGACAAACATGAGGAAGGAACATGACTTGGTCAAAGGACTTGCTCTCTCTCTCTCTCTGTGGCTTTTTTCCACGTGATAACACATAATCAGAAAATGGAATATTTAACGCTAACTAGCATAAGGGCATTTTTGCTCCTCAAAAATAGTTCAGTGGGAAAATTGTTCCACTTAAAAGTACAAGATACCCAGCGCTCCTTGAAAATAAGTACAAGGGTAAACTTAGGCATTAACCCTAGTTTGAATTAGAACACACACTGCACAAACTAAAATGATATTCTCAACATTCTATTCTGTGAAACAAATCAGACAAGAGTAAAAACCATGTTATCAGAGGATTTCCCATTCAATGTTTTAAATAAAAACCATAGACAACTAAGAATGATGAGAAAAAACACACAGATTACCTGCAATAACATCTCTTTTAAAAGTTTCCAATGCGCATCTTTTTCAAAATTTGCTGAAAATGTCAAAAGTGGGCGGGAACCTTTTAGATGATTTCCAGTTAGCTTCAATTCCTCCATTGTGTGCACTGGAAAGCAGTCAAGTAAAATATGATCAGTTAATAAAACAACCGTCCTGGAGGCTAAGTAATAGCCAAGAAAAAATATGCACGCACACACACAAACCCATCTACTATGGGAACGGGGAAGAATGAGACCACCCAAAAAAAGATCAGGGAACCCAGAAAATTAATTTTTTAACCATAGTAGTACGGAAATTAGCACAGAAGAGTAAATAAAATCAGAGAAGAATATCACCAGCACTAACTAAAAATTTCACAGATGGCCCGTTAGGGCATTTTGCCATCCAGAGATAAAGATCTTTTTGCTTCCTGCACTGAAATTCATAAAAATAAAAGGGGAGTAAAAAATTAGAGTGGAACAAGTTAACAAAGTCTAGAGGAATGAATTAGAATTGAACTGAAAACTCTGCAAAGTAATGCCTCAATCAACTCATAGTTAAATCAAAATCATGCTGCTGGGATGAAAAGGACACGCCAATAATGGGAAAAAAAGGTAAAAGTCAGACAAATCATAATTCTGTAAAATCACAACCATCATAATCATGTACCCGGTGTGACCAAAATAATGAATGGACCATGCCATTTAAAAGATATTTTTATGCACCAGTGAAAGCATATCACATGCAACACAGTCAATCCGCAATCCCACATAAATTTTTTGTGGTAAATAAAAGAATACCTCAAAGAATAAACTGGAAGAGCAGTTTTTAAGCTCAACAAGCTCATTCAGGGTGGCACCTTTGGTATCCTTAGATTCAACCTTGTTATCCTTCTTACAATGAGGCAAAAGCGAAACCAAATTCAACATTAAATGCCGGTACCTAAATCATAGAAATCATCCCACCCGATTAGCAATATGCAGAATGTTTAACCCACAAAGTAAGAACCTATCAAGATAAATATTTGCTTGCACCTATAGCTGATGCGTCGTGAGCAAGTAACCAGAACCTTTTCTTTGTTCCTAAATCTGGATGAGTCAGCATCCCCCACTTCATCCTTTACTTCGCTCTTATCCTTCCAACCAAAGAGAGTCCGCTTTGCTCTTTCTGGTGCAACATCATCCTTTTTTGAGGGTGCCGCCACCTCAGTCTCGCTGTGCTTCCTTTTTTTCCCCATAGTTGGTTAAGAATCTGATAAACCCAGAAAACATAATTGTGAAACAAACACTAGTAATTTTCTTAGTTCAACGGAAATTTTTCCTGCAGAACACTTAGCATTTAAATCCCCGTACTTCCCACAGGCAAAGATACCAATAAAAAGAAGAGGCAAGTCACTGGGCTCGGCCCAGCCCGGCTCTTGCCCGATGCCCAGCCTGAAGGATGAACAGGCTGCAAAATGCAGCCTGCTGCCCAGCCCTGCCCACAAGAAGCCCTAATATTTCAGGCTTGGCATGACAGGCTGGGCATCTTCGGGCCACCTTGGACAAGTGATAGCACCCTGCCCATCATTTGTGAAGAAAAACTTCACTAAATAAACCTAATAAACATAATTTTGAGAAGCAGATATATTAAATAATTCAACCCAAAATGGTTTCTGGTTCAATTGTTTCTGCAAACCAATTTTAGATGCGCATATTATTAACTCATTTAAGACTCAGAGTATAAATTTGCACATGTGGAACCAATCTTCACAGCACACAGTCAAATATGGAACCAATTTTCACAGCACTCAAGTCAAATTCAACTGTCATCATCTCCATTTTAGTAACGCTCAAGCACTTGAATTCAAAAGTTTATAAACTTGAAAATAATAGAATGAGCATATACATAATTTCCAAGTCATGCAGTGGAGCCACCGATTATTACAAATTGAAAATAATACCCAATCGAAGGGGAACAGAGAATATTACAAATTGAGAGAGCGAGAGAGACACAATCACAATCACAGGCTCGAACTGAGAAGGAGTACTTCGTCGAACTGGGACCTAGAAGGAGCACAAACGCGACACGACAACTAGACTGCCGTCGAACTGAGAGAGATTGAGAGGTATGAGACAGAGACTCAGACGTCGTGTTTAGCTCCACTGCTCGTCGCTTAACTGAAGGAGAACAGAAAGCTTCGCAGACGCAGTCACGCACACCATGTAATGGAGACACGGACTCAGACTCGCGAGATTGAGAGACGCATCGCAGTTCGCAGACGCAGTCACGCACACGCACAATCGAGGTGGCAAACGGGAGAGGGGTGAGTGGAGAGTGACGGCTAGGGTTGGGACTTAGGAGGGAAGGGGAAAATCGAAGTCGTAGAGAGATGGGAGAGTGGAGAGCAAAGAGTGGCGGCTAGGGTTATCACAGTGTGAAGTTTAAACACCTTGAAAGTCAAACTAAAGATTACCCTGTCACAGTAAGCATCTGAAATTCTATTGCTCACCGCGCGTACTCTGATGAGAAACACAGCTGCACCACGTTATTTATAATTTATTTAATTAAAATGTTTTTTAACATAATTAAAATATTATATTTTTATTAAACAAATTATAAATAACGTATTATATGTATGTTCGAAAGAATATTTAATAATAAATTAAACTTTCATAACAAACATATTATATATATATATATATGCTCCTTCCATTTTTATTTGTAAAAAAAATTGTCATTTTTACTTTATTTTTTTATATAAGTAAAATCACTTTTTTTAATAAGCATTTATTATAAATTTTTTAAATTACCCTTCATTATCTACAATCATGAGAAAAAAAGTGAGATTGAATAAAGGGTATTTTAATCTAACTCTCTTACTTTCAAATATAATTAATATAGCTAATTAATTTTCTTAAACTATATGATAGAATTTTTTTTCCTTGTAAATAAAAATAGGTGAAGTATATATATAATATTGTAGTTTACTACTTAAAAGGTAATCAATTATTTGCTTGTGGGATAAAAAAAAATCTTAATGGGGACAATATTTTTACCAAATACAAGTGGTGATTTTTTAAAAAAATATAATTAAAAATATTAATTAAAGTAACATACAAAAAAATTATATGAGAATTTTAAAATATTTATTAATTTATTTATCTAAAAAATGTTTGTTAATTTCATTTGTATCTTAAATGTATTTTAATAATAAATGATAGGGTAAATAATATTTTTAAATATTTATTTTAATAATAAATGATAGGGTCAATAATATTTTTAAATATATGTGCTTGATAATTTTAAAATAAGGAGGAGAAATTGATTTTTTTATGGAGTCCATTGCAATATTAAACGGAAGCAGGTGCAATTTCAACACAAAAGTGAGTGAAATTTTCACTAATTTATTGTAGGATTTAAAATTTTGTTATGTAGAGATTAGAGGGAAAATAAATTAAATCAAATTAAACTTTGGTTGAATAAATTTAAGCTTGTACAATAAGTCAAAGGCTTAAACTTGGCCAAGCCTATCTTAAACTTAACATAAATCTATTTAATAAATAGGTTGTGCTGAATCCAAAATAGGCCAAGACTTCTGATAGCATCAAGCCTATTCCAATCTTTAGTAGAAACAAGAAATCTTCTAAACCTTCCAATCTTTAGATTCGTTTGACATAAAAAATTAGTATATTTTATTATTAACGTCTTGAATCATGGAACATCATTTCATATTCATTAATTTCGTTTATTATTTTGTGTCATTTACGTCCTTTTTTTATAACATAATAACGAAATATGAAATGTATTTCATTGACAAGCAACATAAAATAATTGGGAGGAATGGCCTTAAGGAAAAGAAAAGCCTAAAACACACTCTTAATCAGTCACTTACAAAACCCATGGTTGAACATAAATAATGAAATTTATATTATAAAAATATTTGTGTACCGCGGGCAGGCAACATACCTTGCCCCATTGCTCACCCTTGCTCTCATATTGGCCCAACGTAAATATGCCCAAATCATGAGGAGGTGCTCTTTTTGGGTTAGGGTAGGAGAAATCTCACTGGGCCAACCCCTGCAAATCAAGTTTCATGATTAGCCTACAAGCAATTATCCTCACTAGAGTGCGTTGAGATGAGAAGATAGCACGTGAAAGAAAAGAAAGTATTCCGAAAAGAGAACAAAGGGAAAAGGACGAGTTTTCTGAAAGCCCGGGGCACCAAGCCTCTTGAGTAAGGATGAAAATACATTAGGTTAAGTTAAACTTTAATTAAATAGGTTTGAGTTTATTTAATAAATTAAAAGTTTGAGCCTGACTTGAAATCTGTATAAAATTTTTTCACGGTTCAAGCCTGAACCTAACTAAAATATAGCTTGATCGGGCCTGAAAGCCTACTTAAAAGTAAGTCTTTTAAATAAATTCACATTTAAGTTTTAAACGTCTCAATATACTTTATGATTATTATAGTATATAATATATAACTTAATTTATTAATTATAATATATAATAATTGAAAGAGCTCATCAAATACAATACAATATAACAATAAAGTAACAATATTAAAATTAATATATAAGTGCAATATGATTGAAAATATAACTAAAAACAAAAAAGAATAACTTGGTTAAACATCAAACAGTGAAACTAATATGTTCATGAGATATGCTACACAATATATATACACATGCGCGCGTGTGTGCTTATGTAAATAAGTCAATCTGTTGTAGTAATAAGATATGCCTTAAAAAAATAGGCCTGACCTATTGAACTAAATAAGCATAATTAAAAGCTTGCACTTGACTTAAGTATATTTAATAAATAGGCCAAGCTGGGTTGAGCCTAAAATAGGTCAAGCCATGCCCTGGCCTATTTTCACCCTCACTCTTAAGAAACTAATGAGAGTTGAATGACTCCTGATGGACAAGCTTGATAAATCTTTGAAATTATTGGTCCTTCCCTCAAATAGACCAATCTCATTAATGCCCATTAATAGCCCACCACAATAATGGACTAGAAAATGGCCTATTTTAATGTAAATGTTTTAGGCCTAAACTTGAAGCATTATTTCAGAGGAATCAGGAATCAAGTTTACCAATAAAAAAAAATCATAAATGAAGAATGATAAGAAATAATGATATGGATTTTATGGGGGGCAAAAATAATGATCTGTAGTTATAGATTTTTTAGAGTAATTTATGTTCCTAATTAATATTTGTTTGAGAGAGTGGGTGGGGAAAAAATGAAGACCTTGAGCAATAATCAAGAATCAAGAATGAAGAATAAAAAATAAATAAATAATGACATGGAGTTATAGATTTTTTTTACTGTAATTTATTAGCATGATACATATTTTTTCCACAAATTGAGCTCATTTTGAGCGCCTGCCTAAGAAGGGGGAGAGTAGAAAGGGGCAAGAGCAATGAAAGGGCATGATAGCTTAATTTAAAATCTCAAAGTTTAAGTTTATGAGTCATTTTTTTTTATTATATCTTAGTTATTAAGTCCAACTTTATCAGATGTGGACCTTCTCACATTGTCCTATGTCAACTCACACTTGGACAACCTAACAAACCCCTTCTAAGTGTGAGTTCACAAGCTCCCCATGCCAAAAAGGTCCCAAACACCAAGTCCTTATTTTGTAAGGTTATCCTAGTTTTCGAGCTTCAAACGATGTAATGCATATAAGTCCCTATTGCAACAAGACCCAATCCCATTTTTGAACTTCAAATGCGTGCACAATAATGAGCTTTCATGGCCCGGGCCAAACCAAGTTCTAATATCACTTATTAGAAATGAGCAGCAATTGCTTGGGAACTGGGGAGAGTAGAGAGGGTAAGAGCAACGAAAAGATATCACATCTTAATTTTAAACCTCAAGACTCAAGTTTTGGGTCCTTCCTCTTTATTATATATTGGGTTAAGGTCTAATTTTTTTTCAGTACTTATTTCTAAGAGTGCTGGGCACCCTGTACTCTTAAGTGGAGTAATTTTACTCCTGAATCATTTTTTTTTAGGAGCAAAAAGCCCTCTACATTAATGAACCATTAATTTTTCCAATTTTTTATGTGGCATGTGCGTGGGGCCCTCGCACAATAATATGTAAAGACTTTGGTCGTGTTCTTTAGTGCTAATTTGCCACTGAACTCTTTTTCTAGGAGTGCTGAGCACTCTAAAAAAATTTTTCTAGGAGCACAGGCACTCTGAAGTCTTGTTAAAATAAAATTTAATAAATATTATTAAAATATTAAGTATTTTAATAGTTAATAATTTCAATATTATTTAAAACATTACATCACTCAATTTAATAGTTTTAATATTTTTCAATTTGTATTAAAATGAAGCGAATGAATCTCCAAATTAACGAAAGGATTTTTTCTTCTCATCTCTCCATTTTTTTCTTATTAAGTAACTTTTTTTTGTAACACATTAATGGAATAAATGATTTCTTTTAAATAAATATTTTTGTTGTCATTTTGTTGGTCCTGATTGTCATATTTTTGATTTTACTCCTAACACTGCAATGTACAAAGAGTATTATTTTGGAGGAAAATCATTAGTTGATTAAAAAAATTAACAAACTTAACCAATATTAAAAATATAAGTTAGTTTAATTTCGACATGCACAAAAAGTGTAACATTTAGGCATTGTCTCAAAAAGAAGATCGATATATAAAAAAATAAGAAGTCATCTATAAATTTATAAATGTTGTAAAATATAGTTAATATAAAGAGTAGAGAAGGACAAGACAATACAAAAAATGAAAAAAAAAAACAATGGAGGAGAATTCTTATTCATTAGTGTACATATGCTTTCGACATGACATCTATTTATAAGCCTCCAACCATTCAAGTCTTATCCTAATGTTACAAAGATATAATGAGATATATAATGGTGCATTATGTAACCTTTGAAGGTTATAAGCTATTAAGATTAAGAAACTCCTTCCATGCCATTCATGAGGACATTAAAGACAAAGGAATCTTAAGGGCTATGAGTTATAAACATCCATAACATAATCTTTATAATACTCCTCCTTGGATGTCCATAACAAATGTTGTGCCTCATTAAAACTTTATTAGGAAAAACTTAATAGGATAAAAACCTAGTGAAAGAAAAAGAGTACACAATATTTTAAATACTCACTAATGTTGCCTCATTAAAAAACTTTTCTAGGAAAATCTAGTGGGACAAAACCTTAAAAAGGAAAAAAGAGTTCAACATAATATTTACTTCTCGTAGTCTCTCCCTGGTAACGATATCACTTCATTCCCTGGTAACAACATCATCACTGTATGCTTCTGAGTTTGCGCATTCCAATTCCATACACTAACTTCTTAAATGTCGAAGTTGGTAGTGTCTTGATAAACAAATATGCAAGATTATCATATGAGCAAATTTACTGAACATCTATATCACCGCTCTTTCAAAGGTCATGAGTGAAAACAAAATTGGAGAAATATGT